AAAAAAAAAAAAAAAAAAAAATCGAGCCAAATATTATGCTTTGTCCCATTAAATTCTTACACCCACTTTCAATTTCCTTGCCAATTCTCACTAGGTGAGGGGCGAAGTCACCCCGAAAGATAGGGTGGACTCAAGTTCGGTCTTAATTTATCACGTCTTCTAAATTTATATTAGTAAGAAATATTTAGCTCATGTTATATTATATTTGATACGCAAATTGTCTTGACTCGTTGGCCGCCAACCACGAACCTTCAACAACCCGGAGCTCCGATGACCTGCAATACGTAGGAAGGGATCTCGGTGGAAAAGCCTCCGCACTCAAGTCAGTGTTTGTTCGAGATGAGATTAAGAGTATCTATGCACTCGGGTGTGCGCAAAAGTGTGTTGTGTAGTGTAAATAACCTGGATATGAGATGCTTGTTTTTTTATAGGAGATTAGATTATTTAATCTTGAGAGGGCAGATATTGAGAATAGATTTTTCATTTATTTGTTGTGTAAGACTAAATTTTTGATAGTGGTGGTGATTATTTTGAATTTAAATTTCACTTTACCTTGACATACTTTTTCAAATAATTGTTTTACATTTTAATTGCTTTTAATTTGGATTTACAAAAAGAATAAAATATATAATACAGTACATAATGCATAATAACAATTAAAATTTAGTACGATCGAGCCAAGCTGTGGTTCATGACCCTCACGCCGGATTCTCACACCACTTGGGCCGAATTCTACTTCAAATTCATTGCGAAGTACTATTCCATCAGAAAACGCAAGAGCTTCGGTCCCAAATAGTCTTCTTTGCTCAATTGCCAAATGAGCCTCTTCATGAGGCCTGGAAGCGATTCAAGGATCTCCAACGACAGTTCCCACATCATAACCTCTCTCCAGGGCTATTAATAAATTGTTTCTACAATTCTCTCCACCAGAACTTGCAATATACGGTGGACAATGCAGCAAATGGACCTCAAAAGACACTGATCATTCATTTTTGAGTGGATATCAGGGCAAAAACAGCTGAGGAGATGATGGAGATATTCGAGACGATGAGCAAACTCGTCTCAGAAGAGTATCCGAGGCAAGAGGGTAACGTTGAATGAGGTCGGACCAAGCAACAATTTGATGATCCAACAGATAGCCGAGCTACTGGAGCAGATGCGGATACTAAATGCGAGGGGAGCTTCGTTTATGCAAACCATGGTTGAGAATGTGTGCAAAGCATGTGGAGTCCACAGACATGGATCTGAGGTGTGCCCATCGACTATCGTGTCGAACTATGGAGGACATAATGCCAAGGTGAAAGCAGTGCAGTGATATCATAATCAGGCCAGAAATGACCCGTACTCGAGCACGTATAACCCTGGGTGGCGAAACCACCCAAATTTCTCATGGGCTAACAACAACTTTCAGCAGTCACCTCAATCCAACTTTGTCCCCCATCAGCAGCAACAAATGGGACAAATGATGGGGATGCCAACACAAGGAGTAGGACCTATCCCGTCGAGCACGGATGACAAGCTGAATAAAATTCTTCAGTTTGTCACAAACCAGGATTTATCCATTAAGCGTCTTGAGACGCAAGTGGGACAGTTGGCCACACGGGTCAGAAGTTGAACAAAAGGAAGTTGTCGAGTCAGTCGGAGCATGCGAATGCAGTCACAATGGTAATGCCCGACCTTGAGGAAGCGGTAGTAGGTGAAGAAAAGAAAGAAGCAAAGGAGTGCCTAAGGAAGCAAGAACGAAAAGAGAAGGCCTCGGTGTCACCTCCTATCGAGCCAATGTTACACAAGTATGTGAACCCGTACATGCCAAAGATTCCCTTCCCAGGCCGACTCTTGGAAGAGAAGGACCATCAGATGATGCGGGATCTCTATGTGATGTTGAAGAAGACGAATGGTGACCTACCGCTTGTCGATGTGATGAAGAAGATACCGGTTTATGCAAGACTTTTCAAAGAAATGGCGATGAAGAAGAACCGGCTCGAGAATAGCGATGAGGTGTTCGTATGTGAGGCGGGAAGTGTCTTTCAGCTTGACTTGCCGAGGAAAGAAAAAGATTCCCCAGGATTCATGATTAATATAGCCTTCGGGAATGATAAAGAGACCTCGGGGATGCTCGATATTGGAGCATGTGTAAATATCATGCCCCTCTCAATTTATCGGCAGCTTGGCCTCGAGGATTTGAAGCCTACTCGGATGCACATGCAACTAGCCGATCGCTCACTCCCTCATCCCGCAGGTGTTGTGGAGGATGTGCTCGTTCGATTGGGGAAGTTGATCGTCCCCGTAGATTTTGTTCTGCTAGACAAAGGAAATGTTCAAGAGAACGAGTGTCAAACACACCATCCTCCTCGGACGACCCTTTATGGCGACCACCAACACGGTTGTTAATGTGAAGAACGGGACTACAAGCATGACGGTGTTGGGGGAGTCTATCTTTATTTCTGTTCGAGTGACTAAATCAGAGTCAGCTTCAAAAGGACTAAAAGACTACCTAACTAACTCCTTATCCCACTCTCTTTTACCATCCTTACACTAATCGCATACTTTCTTAAATCTAGACATATCTGTCAAACTTACAAGATGAAAGAAAAGAGGATAAATTATGAACCCATGGATTCTTTCATACATTGATAGAATTCTCACCCCCAACTTTAAAACTAACCCTTTTTGAAGACTCTCTCACACTAGGCCAACTTTTCCATTTTGTCCACTTTTTCACCTCAAACGAATTAACCCTATAGAAATATCTACCCTTCATAATCTTACATAACATAAAATTTGGTTGTGTGAAAACTCTCTATAGTTGCTTAACAATGAGGGCCTCATTAAAAGCAACCAAATTCTTAAAGCCCAAACCCCATGCTTAGTTAGATTACCCAAGAAGCCCAATGTATCTTTTCACCTCCCATTTTAGACTTATCCCACCATAAGTCAACAATTGCTCTAGTTAATATCATTATAAATTATAAATACAAATAGGCAACTTGAAACAAGATGAGTCCATATGCGGCCAATTTATTATTTTCCAACAGATGGGGATAAAAATTAAAATATTTTTATGTACATAGAGATGAAACTCAAAATGGCTATATATAAAGGATTTGTTTAGGAATTAACAAAATATACTAATAAAATTACAGCTTTTTAAAAGATAAATATCTAAGGGATTTTTTGGTTTGAGGGGAGGGGAGGGAGATTTTTAAAAATCTCTTGTTGCATTGTGTAATTAGGGTTGCAAATGAACCTAGCCGAGTAGAGCATTAGCCTTATCGAACAGGATTGAATTTTTTTTTTAGTTGCTCGAGCTCGATTTATGAGGCTCGAGCTCGAAAAAAAATACAAAAGCTCAAGCTCGGGTCGAGCTCGACTCGAATTCAAAACGCTCGAGCTCGGCTCGAGTTCGGTTTGATTTTTTCAAGCAATTTTGTAAAATAACCATTAAACACTATATATACAAGTGTATTTTAGTAATTTTATATATCTCGAGCCGCTCGACAATGTAAAATATGTGCTCGAGATCGACTCGAGTTCGTGCTCGAGCCGCTCGAGCTTGACTCGAGTTTGATCAAACTCGAGCTCGAGCCGAGCTTTGACTCAAGCGCTTGCGAGCGGAAAAAGTTATCATAATACGTATGACATTCATAAAGTAAACATAAATCGTCAATGGTAAAAAGTTATACATTATTAAAAACCTCTTTATATACAATGTTATTAGTTTGATTACTGGGTAACTCATCGTCCCCACAAACTAATATTTTCAACTTCTTCCTATTAGTAACACGTGAAACAACGACGTATAACTGGCCATGGCTAAAAACACGTTTTTCTAAGAACAGTCCTACATATGATAAAGACTGACCCTAACTCTTGTTTATGGTCATGGCATAGAAAACCATAAGGGGAAATTGCTTCCGCTGGAACTTAAACAAAACCCTAACATCAGAAGGAGTTATGTTCATCCAAGGAATCAACACCTTCTCACCTGCGTGATCTCCAGCCAATTCCTACATTCAAAAACATGCGGAGAGAGCTTCGTAACAACCAAACGTGTGCCATTATACACAGACCCATAGAATGGTCCATGTTTCGAAACAACATGACTGGAGTTCCTATCTTCAAATGCAACTCATGGTTCGACGTTCCCGAACACTTCACCTTCATTCAGTACACCTCGAAATGCTCCCATATTTGTAGGACATAATATGTCTTTAATAAATACACCCTACAAAATAAATTTATAAATATTAATTATAATATTTTTTAAATTATATGAATTTGATATTACAAATGAAAATATTTACCTGTTCATCATGAAACATTATATGGAATGTGTTCCAGCTCTCTCGTTCGTGATGCGTTTCAATTATTCGGACTGCTCTCAAACGCAAATCGAGTGTATCTCATACTTGCGGCATTATATTATCGATGTGTTCTGAAATTTATCTATGTATTTTTTTTTCTCTGAACGCTATGAATGATGTGAAGAAATAATGGTGGTAGTGATTATCCTTTTATACAACTTTTTTTAGCAAAAAAGTGATTGGTGAAAATTATTTAAAAGGAAAGATATTGGTAAGATTTTAATCAACAGTGATTGATGATAATTATAGATCAGTTTTAATTAATTTTTTTTTTTGCAGACACCTTATTAAACGCAAGATATGCGGCCTTCTAAGAGAAGATTTATATGGAGCCACAAAAAGAGAAGATTTATTTGGATTTTGATTCAATATTTTATTGTATTCCTAAAAAAAATCGAAAAAATAAATACGCCAATAAAGAGTCCGAATTGTGAAAAAAAAAAGGAAAAGTTTGAGTCCGAATTGTTAAAAAATTAATGCAATGGCGTGAAAAAATAATGCAATGGCGGGATTCCATAAATATAAGGCATAATAGCGGGAAAATACATGACCTTTACTTGATTCACCATTTAATAACGACTTTCAAACCCTGACAAATAAATACATGACCTTTACATTCTTGGCAACTCGATACACAGATTTAACGTCCGTCAACGAAAAGCTGACGTGGCAATTTTTTAACGGCCACGTCACCTAGAAGTCCGAGTGAGCAAACAGAAGTCAAATCATCAGTTAAACCTTGGCAGTTTAATACACCACCTTTGGTTTTTGGCAACCCGATACACAAAGTTAACTTTTTTTTTGGCAAATAGCTGCCACATCTAAACATTTAAATATATTGAAATACATATAATATAAATAATGTAATATTATTTATCTAAGTTATCAATATATTAGATTTTAATTATATGTTTTATTGAATTTTATATTATATGTTTTTATTTATTATTCATTATTTACTATGTTAATATTATTTATTTTATTATTTATCTATTAAATACTAAATACATTACATATTAAAAATTAATAAGGTAGAACAATTAAAATATATAAATTAAAAATAATATATTTTTTTATTTGTTTTTATTTTTGTAATCACTATATATTTAAATTATAAACATAATTTCAATAATAAAAGCATAATTAAAATAAATAAAAATAATAAAAGTAAATTAAATGAATTTAAATCAAATATAAAATAAAATGCTGATGTGGCAGCTTTTTGCAAAAAAATGTTAAGTTCGTGTATTGGGTTGCCAAAAAACCAAAGGTGGTGTATTAAACTGCCAAGATTTAACTGATGGTTTGGCTTATGTTTGTTGAGTCAGACTTCTTGGTGACGTGGCCGTTAAAAAAATTGTTGTCAAATTTCCGTTGACAGACGTTAATTTCGTGTATCAAGTTGCCAACAATGTAAAAGTCATGTATTTATTTGTCAAGGTTTGAAAGTCGTGATTAAATGACCAATCAAGTAAAGGTCGTGTATTTTCCCGCCGTTATGCATAAATATAATGATATATTCCATAGTATCTATTGCAATTAATGCTCGCTATTTATTAAGCCGAATTGTTAAAACAATATTAAGAGTGATTTTAGGCAATTTTGTTAATTTACTATTTTTAGGTAATAATTAATAAAATTGGCGGGAAATTTTTTTTTAAATGTGAATTATGTTAATACTTATTATATATTAATAAATTATTCTTCTAAATTTTCCAAAATTATACACTCGTGCATCGCGTGGGTTTCTTTACTAGTATTGTAGAATTAGATTTGCAATTTTATGATTTTATCCCTTGTTTATTCCTCCTTTATGGAGTAGGCCGGAAAAAGTTGCCAGACAGTGGACTCACTGTGTGTGTGTGCACAGATCTATAACTGGCACACCTCCTCCAAATTCTTTTGCACTATCCTTGTCAATTTTGCCTAAAAAGATGACCGATTGGGGCCCGGTGTTTGTGGCGGTGGTTCTATTCGTGCTCCTCACTCCGGGCCTGCTTATTCAGATCCCGGCCCGCAGCCGCTCCGTGGCCTTCGGCAGCTTGGAGACCAGCGGGCTCTCCATACTGCTCCACTCCATTCTCTACTTCCTTCTCATCTGTATTTTCTTACTAGCTATTGGTGTTCACATCTACATAGGCTAAAAAACTCTTCATGTATGTGATCTAATTTCTGCACAAACTATGTTTATCTTTGAAATTTAATTGCAGAATGAGTCGATTGTTGTGAACTGTTTAAATTGAATGTTTAGTCGAACAACTGTTGTTTCAGTGTCCATTGATGTTTTGATTGTTACGTTAACCAGAAAAGAAGCATGAAAAAAACAACAAGAGGGGCAAAGAGCATGCCAACAAAAATGAACTAATAATACACAGAAAAAAAAAAAAAAAATCTTACAGTGGTAGTTCAGTTCCAAATGAGGGATTAATAATAAAAGTAATGAATGAGTTTTAGGCATAGATATGTAGATCGAGTACGACTAAGAAGAGGATCAAGAGAAGACCATAGATGATAGCGTGTAGCAACATTGACACAGCACTTGTGTTCATGTTAAGAAAATCGATTGGCCTGTGCTTTCCTGGAAGCTGAAACACTAATCCTGGCGAAAAGAATGCAAATAGTGCAGTTGCTATCAGCAATGAAGCAT